TCCAGGGTATTAAAAAAAAAAAAATCTATTGAAAGCATTCACAGCAGAGTGAACAAATGTGAAAACAGAATTTCAGATATAGAAGATAGGATTTCAGTCAGTAACAATGAAAAGAGAGATCTCTTAAAAACAGCAAGGAATCATGAGAAATCAATCCAACAGATCCTAGAAGATGTAAAGAAGAATAACATAAGACTGATAGGAATTTGTGAAGTAGCAGAAGAAAGTACAAATGACTTAAAAAAAAACTGTTCACAGAATTAATGACAGAAAAATTTCCAAACGGGAAGAATTTGACATACAAAAAAAATGAGACATATAGGACTCCAATTATCCATGATCAAAAAAAAAAAAATCTACACCTAGATATATAGTAGTCAAGATCCAGGAAACCCAACAGAAGAACAAAATACTGAAAGCAGTTAGAGAAAAGAAACAAATCAGATGCAAAGGAAAGCCCATCAGAATCACAGCAGATTTTTCAGCACAAACCCTCAGGTCAAGGAGAGCCTGGAGTGAGGTATTTCAAACCCTAAGATAAAACAACCTCCAACCTAGGCTGATGTATCTTTCAAAACTCTCTTTTAAAATGGATGGGGAAACTTCCACGACAAAGAACACCTGAGAAACTTCACAAATACCAAACCAGCACTACAAACAATTTTGAACAATATCCTAGAAAAAGACAACATCATGAGCTCACAACATCATGAGGCCCAGTGGAGCAAATCAATTAGGAAAGGAAAGAAACTAAAGGGGGGGGGATTAAAAAGTGCCAACAACAGGACAGTAACATGACAATGATAAGTCAAAACATATCAGGTATAACCATCAATGTCAATGGCCTCAGTTGACCAATCAAAAGAAACAGATGGGCAGAATGGATTAAAAAACAAAATCCAACAATATGCTGTATACAAGAAACACACATAGTTCAGAAAGAAACTCATAGACTGAAAGTGAAAGGATGGAAAACAGTTCTCCATGTGACAGAAGCCCATACAAAAGCAGGAGTAGCAATCTTATTCACAGTCAAAGTAAATTTCAAACCAAAACTGATTAAGAGAGACAAAGAAGGCCACTACATCTTTGCAAAGGGAACAATCCAAGAGGAAGAGATAATTGTAAATATATATACACCAAATGTTAATGCCCCCAACTATATAAAACAAATATTAAGGAACATGAAAAATCAAATAAGCACTAATACAATTGTAGTGGGGGACCTAAATACCCCACTATCACAAATAGACAGATCATCTAGACAAAAAATCAACAACAAACTACTAGAACTGAACCAAGCTTTTGAACAAATAGACTCAATAGACGTCTACAGAATGTTTCACTCCACAAAATCAGAATATAAATTCTTTTCGGCTGTACATGGGTCCTTCTCCAAAATAGACCACATATTATCTCATAGAACATGTTTAAATAAATACAAATGAATTAAAGTCATCCAGTGTATATTTTCAGACCATAGTGCAATTAAGCTGGAGATCAATAGCATAAGAAACTGTTAGAAATTTACAAACACATGGAAATTGAATAACACTCTCCTCAACAATCAATGTGTCACAGTGGAAATTACAGAGAAATTAGTCAATTTTTTGCAAATAAATGATAATGCCAATACTACACACAGGAATCTATGGGACACAATGAAAGCAGTTCTATGTGGAAAATTCATAGCAGTGAATGCCCACACTAGTAAAACAAAGCGAGCTCAGATAAACAACCTAATGATGAATCTTAGGCTCCTAGAAAAAGAAGAGCAAGACAAACCAAAAGCTCATACGAGGGAGGAAATTATAGATATCAGAGCAGAAATCAATGCAATGGAAGCTAAGAGAAAAATACAAAAAAAAAAATCAATGAATCTAAGAATTGGTTTTTCTAAAGAATAAATAAAATTGATAAACCCTTAGCCAACCTTGTCAAAAAGGGAAAGAAAAGGCTCAGATCCATGCAATTGGGAATGAAAAAGTTGAAGTCACTACAGATCCAGCAGAAATCCAGAAGATTGTCAATGCCTACTTGGAGAAATTGTACTCTAATAAAATGGAAAACACAGAAGAAATGGACAGATTTCTTGATATTTATGAATTACCAAAGTTGAATGAAGAAGATAAAAACATTTTAAACACCCCAACTACTATTAGTGAAATTGAAAACAAAATTAAAAGTTTACCAACTAGGAAAAGCCCAGGTCCTGATGGATTCACTGTTGAATTCTACAAGACATTTAGAGAAGAACTACTGCCATTACTCCTTAAACTTTTCAATGAAATTGAAAGGGAAGAAATATTTCCAAATTCATTCCTGAAAGCAATTGTTACTTTGATTCCAAAACCAGCAAAGACCCAAGCATAATAGAGAACTACAGACCAATATACTTAATGAACATAGAAGCAAAAATCCTCAATAAGATACTGACAGAATACAGAGGGTCATCAAGAAGATCATATACCCTGACCAAGTCGGATTTATTCCAGGGTTGCAAGGATGGTTCAACATAAGTAAATCAATACATGTAATACACTATATTAACAGAGTCGAGGACAAAAACCATATGATCATCTCAATAGATGCAGATAAATTATTCTGTAAAATTTAGCACCCATTCATGATAAAACACAACCCTGCAGAAAATTGGAATAGATGGTCTTTATTTCAACTTGATAAAGGCTATCTATGAAAAACCAACAGCCAACATCATATTAAATGGCAAAAAACTGAAAACATTCACATTAAAATCAGGAACAAAATAAGAATGTCCACTATCACCACTCCTGTTCAATATAATTCTGGAAACATCAGCCACAGCAATTAGACATCAGAAAGAAATTAAAGCAATAAAGATAGGAAATGAAGAATTTAAACTGTCATTATTTGCTGACAATGTGATACTCTACATAGAAGACCCCCCCAAAAAAACTGCCAAAAGACTTCTACACTTAATTGACACTTTCTGCAGAGTAGCTGGATATAAGGTCAACACTCAAAAATCCATATCCTTCTTGTACACAAGTAACAGACTCACTGCGAGGAAATTAGGGAAACAATTCCTTTCAGAATAGCATCCAATAAAAAACTGAAGTATCTAGGAATCATTCTAAAGAATTATACAGTGAAAACTACAGCACTCTGAAAAAAGAGATAGAAAAGGATATAAGAAAATGGAAAGATATCCCCTGCTCTTGGGTAGGAAGAATAAACATAGTTAAAATTGCCACACTACCAAAACTGCTATATGGATTCAATGCAATCCCAATTGAAATTCCAACAGTATATTTCACAGAACTAAAGAAAAGAATCCAAAAATTCATTTGGAACCAGAGACTAGAATAGCAAAAGCAATTCTAGGTGACAGAGACATGGCAGGGGTATCACAATCCCAACTTGAAACTGTACTACAAAGCCACTGTGATAAAAACAACAAGGTACTGGTAAAGAAAAAGGCCCGAGGATCAGTGGAATAGATTGGAAGATATAGAAACAACTCCAGACATACTCAGCTACCTCATCTTTGACAAAATAGCCAAGCATCCTGACTCGAGGAAAGATAGACTCTTTAATAACTCATTTTGGAAAAACTGGATTTTAACCTGCCAAAGATTAAAACTAGACCCTTATCTTTCACCATGCACTAAACTAAAATCCAAGTGGTTTAAAGATCTAAATATTAAAACAGAAACACTAAACTTGCTGGAAGATAAGTTAGGCAGAACTCTTGAAGACACTGGCATTGAAAAAGACTATATGAACAAATCCTCAGTAGCACGGTAACTAGCACAAAGAACAAACTGGGTTCTCATCTTGTTAAAAAGCTTCTGCACTGCAAAACAAACCACCAAGAGAACTAAGAGACAACCTACAATGTGGGAAAAAAGTTTTACCAGCTGCTTCTCAGATAAAGGTCTATTGTCTAGAATATATAAAAAACTCAGAAAAATCTGACCCCCTAATATAAAGACCCAATTCAAAAACGGGCTTCTGAAATGAATAGACATTTCTTAGACAAAGAAGTAAAAGCAGAAAATATATGAAAAAAAAATGTTCAACATCACTGGTCATTCAAGAGATACAGATGAAAACAACCTTGAGATTTCCCCTCACTCCACAAAGAATGGCTGCTTTCAAGAAGTCAACCAATAACAAATGCTGGTGGGGCTGTGGGGAGAAAGGAATCCTTCTCCATTGTTGGTGGGAGTGAAGACTGGTGTAACCACTGTGGAAATCAATATGGAGATACCTCAAAGAACTAGGATTGGAGGTTCCATTTGACCCAGCTATCCCTCTGCAGGGTATCTTTCCAAAAGAATTAAAAGAATCATACCACAGTGATATATGCACACCCATTTTTATAGCGGCACAGTTTGTAATAGCTAAAACTTGGAAACAGCCCAATTGCCCATCACTTGGAGATGAATAAAGAAGATGTGGTTTTTCTATAAAGTGGAGTACTACTCAGCCACAAAGAATGAGAAACTAGAGTCATTCATAGGAAAACAGATTCATATTGACATCACATTCTTAAGTGAAATAAATAAGACATACATGTGTAAATACCGAACAGTTTCTTGGGTGTGAAAAACTAAAAGTGTAAATAAGATCTAAATTGTGCAACTGATAATGTGAAATAGGAAGGAACGGGCTAAAGATGTAGGGGAAGTGGGAAGAGTAGGGGAAAGGATATAAGGGACAAGAAAAAATATGAGAAAAGGAAAAAATGGAAACAAAGTCTTTGTAAATAGGGGACAGCGGAGGGAGTGAAGGGAGAGCTGGTGAATGGGGAAAAAATGAGAACCAAGATTTGTCATGTAAAGGTACAAGATCCCAATGATGAATGTAACTGTACTGTATACTTGAAAAATACCAATAAACTCAATTAAAAAAAGACAAAAAAAAAAAGGAACTGAATGGAATGCATAGATACAGGAAAAGTCTAAATTGCCAATGAAAAAAAATGAAATAAAAAATTTGGCATTTTTACTCACGTCAATATAGCTGGCATTTACATAGGTTGACCCTGCATCTCCATTTATTTCAGAGAGTTCAACACGGTTATAGTCATCTAGTTAAGACAAAGAAGAACAAATAAGTGAAACGATGAACAATCAAGCAGCCTAAATACACAGAAATTCAAATCTTAATAAATACTCACATGGAAGGATGTCAACATAGCGGTTTTTATTTTGGTTAAATGACTTTCGAGCATCCTTGATAGAAAACTTACTGAACACACGTGGAATGCTCTGAAAAACACAAAGAAAGATTCTTTAGGTTACAGCAGATTCAGAAAAAAAAAAAAAAGCTTTCCCTTTACCAGTCATCATTTTGAGTATCCTATAAAACATTCTCTTTGTATTGATAAAACCACTTGTATATGGTTATTGAAGTCAACATTATTAGGAACTATGCACAAATACCATTTTCCTTAATAATTATGATGCTTTATTTTCAGGGCAAATACCATGAAAAAAGTTTAAAATTTGTTGCTGTGCCATTTAAAATTCATTTTTAAAATGGTGCTTGGGATCACTACTTAAGTATAAGTACAAAATAAGCCAAATACTTTTTGTGACATGACTTTATAGGCAATAATGGTAGAGTAAGGCATTATACTAAAACATTTACTAGCTTCATGCTAAGATCTTATTATTCTTTAGGCGTCTCTCATCTGGCCTGTAAATATCTGCTAATAATATCCGCCTTAATTATACTGCAGTATTATTTAGGCCAAATTACAAAGGCAAATGGTCATAAAGATGCATTTAAAATGGAATTCTCTTGACGAAAGAACAGCATTTCTTATCCTGTATGAAGAATGACACATACCTGAAATTCAGCCAGAAAAAGTCGACCTTCGTCAGCAATTTTTCTCTTATATGTTTCCAACAAAACGTCCGCCTGAATGGGCTCCACGTTCATCAGCTGTTTTTCATCATCTGTAAACAGATGAATGAATCGGGACTATTGTTGAGTCTATCTTTTCAGTGTGCATAGAGATTTTGCTAAATTCGTAACTTGGACCCAGCCCTCAGCTTCTTTCCTTCTCCCACATATTCTGCCTGAGAAATCTCACACAGAAAACATTCATCTATGAACCAGTGACTTCTAAGTATTGTACTTCACTCTTCTGGGCTTTCTACTGTTTCTTTTCCTAGACTGCTCTTCCCTATTTTCTATACCCAGAAAAAAAGATCCCAGAACAAGTGACACCATTGTCAGGACAGACATATTTCCATTTGATTATGTGGATTTTATAATAATCAATATATTTATTTTTACATAATTATTTTTGCTCCCATTTTAACTTAACAGGAAGCATTATAATTGTGTGGATAAAGTAAGTTTAATTTGATAACTCTTTTTAAACAAAACTGTGAAGCAAGTTGTATTCATTTGTTGTGTCTCCAGAATATAAAACAGATATACTGTGTTTGTGAAATAACTATATAGTAGAAATACCCATTAACTATCAAGTGCTATAATTGTATATGAAATTGGAAAACAATAGTATTAAAATAATTTTTAAAAAATAAGTTGTCAAGGGCCTGGGGTTTAGGTCAGTGGTTTCACCACCTGCCTCGCAAGCTCAAGGACCCTCGTTCGATCCTCGGTACCAAAATAATAACAATAATAAGTTGTCATATATGTAAAAGGCATGTTTTGTCCTATTGCTCCCTGTCCTGTTGATAGCCCTTCTTTCAGTGCTCATGTTAATTTTCCCTGTTTATGAAGAAAAGAAAGTCGTGTGCAAGGGTGGCACGTTTATCTGATTGTCTATGGAAATGTTTTATCTAATTAAAATTATCACACTAACCAAGTGCTGTAGCTTCTTTGTGCTTTAGGAGATCCCTTGTATTCATTCATTCTGGACTGCAGACACACTGCAGGATTTTAGGGAGTTTGGTGGGTAAATTATGATGCACTCCAATGTGCAAACAGTAAAATTTCTGAGATAAAACCCTTTCCAACCAGCCTTGACTTACTGAAGTGGACTCTCCTCTACTCGGGAGCTTGTTGTTCCTTTGCTCTTCATTCTTTTGTTTTGTTTTGTTTGTTTGTTTTTTGGTACCGGGGATCGAACTCAGGTCCTTGCGCTTGCAAGGCAGGTACCGGAGCCACTGAGCTAAAAATCCCCGGCCCTGCTTTTCATTATTCCCTCAGCCTATCAAGACTAATTCAGAGGCCGTGTTATCTTGTCATTTTATTTTGTCATCGATAAATATTGAATTCCATACACTCACGGAGTACTGGGGATAGACTAGTGAATCTGCAAGGAAAAGTTCCCTGCCTCCCCAAAGCTTACATTCCATTTACAAGAGGGCAAGTAAGAAATCAATGAAACGCCGTGTCAGGCAGTCATACGTTCTGCCAGGGAAAATAAAGCCGAAGGAGGACTTCAGTGTTTCTGTGCACAGACCTGTACCTGCTGTCACGGAGGAAGGTAAGTTAATACAGATAAAGGACTTCTGAGTTCTGCCTGTCTTGAGTAAAAGGAGTCAAATGAGCTTTGTTGTGGCAAACACAGAAATTATTTAACTCATTCTTCTTTTACTGGATTATGTTTTAAAAATTAAAGAAATAAAGTAAAAATTGGATTTTTTTTTTTTAAGGAACTAAATCAACTTCCTGTCTGTAACTGTGCCGCTAGGGGGAGCAGCCACCATCTCACCCTAGCAAGGACTTGAGGACCTGAGTCACCACTTCCTCATCCCTGCGACTGATTTGCATTTTGCTCTTCCTTCTTTCATTCTTCACGTGGTCCGTGTCCCCCACGATCTTAGCAGACCTCATTTACGTCCTCCCCAAAGTCAGTTTTCTATCTTTGTATAAAACTAGACACATTCAGCTCCTATGACGTTTATAAATTCCTGCCTAACCTGTTAATCTGTCTTCCTCTTTTAGTTCCTAACTCCTTTAAGAGTAGAGTCTGGTGGTCCCCATAGTTTCTTAGTTTGTTGGGCCATAGTGACACATAGGAAGGACTCCACAGATGCTTGCTTGCTGGATAAATGAATTTAAGCTTCATCATTGTATCAGCAGAAGAAGCCAGGTTAACTTTAAATGCCCGATTCTTTTTACAAAAGAAGTAAACTCAAAAGTAGGAGAGGGAATACAAATCAGTTTTAAAAAGAAGCATCCTTACCTATATCAACAAGTTCCTGTTGTTCATCTAAGTTTCTGTGAAAAATAAGAAATATAAATGTCTACGTTCTTAAGAAATACTGAATTCAGTTGCCTTTCTATTGAAATGATTTAATTTTATAGAAGGAATGTATTGAAGGAAGGAAAAATGAAGGCAAAGTGGGTAGACAGGGAAGAGAAAGGAGAGGAGCAGAAGGAAGAGGGAAAAAGACAAGAGGGAAAGAAGAGAGAAGAAAGGAAAGGCGTCGAGGTAAGAGAATGACGAGGAGGGAAGTAAAGAAAAAAGGAGAGAACCAGACCAACCGAGAGTGTGTGCTGTGAGGCAGCTTCACATAAGTAACAAAACTATATTACTTTCATCTTCCTTTCTTATAAAATGTAGCTCTTCCTACAAAAGAAATAAATGTACCTCCCATAATTCCTTCCTTCGTTTTGCTTTTCTCATTCCTAGAACACCCTGACCCACTGTGTACTAACAGAGCAGCCACATTGTTTTATCTCTTTCGTAAAACAAGTCTAACGTTACTAGCAAATGTAGAGAATATGAATATTTAATCTAAATCCAAAACACTGACACCATAATAAAAGTCTTCAAGTTCAGTCCTGAACTGGACCTGGTGTCATCCTCTTTTCTTGTATTTAAGTGGACCCCCCCACTCCCGGCCTTATAGCTATGACCTTGGTTGTTATTACTGCCTTTATGTGTTAATTCATATATCAGTTCTTACCTGGATCTCTTCTTGTGCAGATCATATATTTTATAGAGTACCACAAGCAGAGCGATTGATGTCACAATAATCAGAAATATCAGAAATGCAATCAGTGCTTTGGAATTATCTGGAAATTAAAAAATAATACATGAGAAAAGTGTATTGTGTCATGTATTTGCTAGATTGAATAATTACTTTTAAAGAAATTATGTTACACTTAATATTCTAATTTCCTGCGAAGTTTTCAAGTACAAACCTTTCAGAATAAGACCAAATGCAGTGAATTCCTAATTCTGTGATTCTGGCTACATTATTCAGGATGCATAAAATCATTATACTTTAAGGTAATAACTGGAAGATAAATGACTAGGTTCCTTTCGTCCACTAAATAATGTTCTTTTATGAAGTACTATCATACTTAATTCTTTCAGTCACTTCATTTAAAAAGGATCAAGTAGGTAATCCAGTTACGATTTTTAGAGAGAGATGCATAATATTTAACTTTGTATGGAGAAGTGAGTTGTCTCCTAAGGGAATCAGAAAGGCTTCTGACCCACAAAGATAAACCCTCTCACAAGCTACCCGAGGTATGAAATCAATTAACCAAAAGACAAAAAATATGTCATTCAACAGTAACGCCCTGAGTCAAATTTTCTCTAAGGTTTAATGTGAAAGCACATCCTCTCCCATAGAACGGGCTGAGAAAGGCTGTACCAGAAATGTCTCTGCCCTGAATTAGAATATCATACTTGGCATGCAGGGGAAAGCGCAAGAGAAGGAAGCAACGACTCAAGGTGCTCAGCGCCAGAGGCTCAGGTGCCGATCCCAGTTCCACGACCTTCTAATTGAGAACTTGCCCAGAATCCTAAATACTTTGTATCTCTGTTCCTTAATTCCTACAATGAGCTGAAGTAGGTTGATCCACAATAAACAGTGCAATGCTTGGAATACAGTAAGCACTCGTCCTTCACTAATCCAGCCACTACTTTAAACTTTCATTGATTTATTTTTATTGGTATACGTTTGCAGTACATGATGCCGCCGTTCCTTAGGAGGAGTTGGTACGTGCATGCGGCAGATCTTCCTTCCCTTTTCATCTCCTCCCCTCCTATCTGGGTCCCATTCTCGTTTGAGAAAGATCGCTCTCCCTACTTCCTATTATATATCTTTTATTTTGCTCTTTATTTATATTTGGGATTTCTTATATAAAATAAACTGTGCAATGTTTAACCGGTGTTTTTGATTTATTTCACATTACGGTCTCAAAGTTATGTCCATTTCCTACTAATAATGACTGGAGTTTATCTTGCTTTATGGCAGAGTAGTACTCTATTACATGTAAATACCATATTTCCTTTCTCCATTCATCCGTTGTTGGACATATAGGCTGCACCCAAGATTTAGCTATTACGAATTGTGCAGCTATAAACATGGGTATTCATGTATCGTTGTAATATGATATCTTTAGCTTTTTGAGGGAACATAACCGGAAGGGGTATAGCTGAGCCAAGTGGAATTTCTAGTTTTAGTTTTTGGAGGACTCTCCATACTGATTTCCATTCCCACCGACATTGTAGAAGGGATCCTTTTTCCCTGCAGCCTCACCGTATTTTTGTCTTATCATCTGCCAAACACCTCTCTAGATACTTAACATATCTCAGAAAACAAAATAAATACGTAAAAATCAGTTGCACTGCAATATGCCAATAGAAAATTATCTGAAATGAATATCAAGAAAAGAATTCTATTTAAAAGAGCTACAAGACAGATGGAATGATGTACACCTGTGTTCCAGAAGCAATCAGTAAGTGACACACAGAGAGGCAGCAGAATGGGAGTAAAATAATAAATTTACTTATCCATAAGGGTCCATCGCACATAAGCTGTGCCTGGATCAACGATGCACTGGGCTACAACTCCTCCTTTATAGGGTTTCACAACCTTGACTTCATTTGGGTGGTTACATTTCATTCTCACAGTTCAAATCACGGTCACAGAATAGTTAATCTTTTCAACCCAGACGTAGCAGTTCTTTGCAATTGGGGAGTTTACCTTTAAGTTTCACCTAGTTATCTATTCTAGCCCACAGGAAGCGGGTGTTCAGGGTCAGGGGAGCAAATGTCAGCAATGGGTTCTTTCATTTAGACCCTTTTATGATCAGGTGGCTCGAGTCTCATCAGAGCTCAAGACCTTGACTGTTACCTCGGGGTCAGACCAAATGCCTCATTCAGCAATTAGTGCCTTTGGTGCCTATTAGCTTTGAGCTAAATAAAACAAACTGCTGTTAGAGACAGCAGAAGCCATTTTACATTGTAACACTTTATAGGTTTTTGCTATTTACGAAAGTTTTCCCTATCACCTGTAATCCCAGCTAACTGGGAGGCCGAGGTAGGGGGACTATTCATTTGGGATCAAACTGGGCAATAGAGCAAAACCTTATCTCTAACCAGGATAATAATAAAAAATAAAACAACTACAAAAAACTAGAAATAAATAGAAAACAGAGGTATAAGATCTCCATAATGAAAATTATAATAGACTATTGTGGAAATTACAATGAATACAAAAGAGGAGAGACATCTCATGTTCATTGACTAGAAGAATGAATATTGTTAAAATGTCCATAGTACCAAAAGCAATCTACAGATTTACTGCAATCCCTATCAAAATACCAAAGAAATTCTGCCTAGAACCAGAAGAAACAATTTTACATTTATATAGGATCACAAAACCTTCAAATAACTGGTTATCGTTAGCAGAAAGAACAAAGCAGGAGGCATCACTTTACCCAACTTCAAACTATCCTACAAACTGTAGTGATCAAAAGAGCACAATACTGGCATAAATGCAGACACTCAGACCAATAACAGACAGCCTAGTGGCAAATCCACGCATCGGTATCCAACTGCTTTTTGACAGAGTGACGGGAACACTGAAAGACAGTCTTCTCTGTAAAAGATGTTGAATAAACTGAATATCCAGATCCAGAAAAATAAAATTAGACCTCTATCGCTCACCAATTACAAAAAATCATTTCATTTCAAAATATATTTAGCATTTAAATGTAAGACCTAAAATGATGAAACTACTTGAGGAAAACAAGGGAAATACTTCAGACACTGGAATGGGCAAGGATTTCTTTCGTTTTTTTCTTTTGTTTGTTTGTTTTTGTTTTTTTGGTACCGGGGATTGAACTCAGGTCCTTGCACTTGCAAGGCAGGCCACCGAACCGCTGAACTAAATCCCTGGCTAGCAAGAATTTCTTTTGGACAAAACCCAAAAAGCACAGGAAACGAAGGCAAAAATAGGACTACATCAGTCTGCACAGCAAGGGATACAATCAGCAAAGCAAAGAGACAGCTTACAGAAGGGGAGAAAGCATTTGTAAACTACACGTCTGACAAAGGGCTTATAATTAAATAAAGTATATAGGGAACTCCAAAAATACAAAAACTGTTTTCCAATAGCAAAAAATAATTATCTGATTAAAAATGGTCAATAGACCTAAATAGATATTTCTAAAAAGAAGACATACAAATGGCAACAGATCAGTAATCACCAAGGACGTGCAAGTCAAAACCTCGATGAGGCATCACACCACCCAGTGATAATTACTATTATTAAAATGACTACTTCCAGGGTAGATATGGAAGAAAGGCAACTCTTGCACACTACTGATGGTAATGTAAAGTAACACGGTCATAATGGAAAATAGTAAGACGCTTATTCAAACATTAAGGAAATTAAACCAGTCTGTCTTGGAGACGTCTGCACTCCCGCGTTTATTGCAGCATTATTCACAACAGACAAGAAATGGCAGCAGCCTAAGTGATCATCACCTGATGAAGGGATGAAGAACGTGGGAAACATGCACACTGGAGAATCCTTTTCCTCCAGAAAAATAATTCAATCTCATTATTTGGGAAACATGGGTAGAACTGGGGATTATTACGCTAAGTGAAATAACTCAGGTAAAGACAAGTGCTGTACGATCTCACTCATATGGGAAATTTTTAAAATGTGATACCATAGAAGTTAAGAGTAGAATGGTGGCTACCAGAAACTTGGGGAGAGAAGGATGGAGGAGATGGAGGAAGGTATGGGTGAAGTCTGACCCCTAGGTACCAAGTTACAGTTAGATAGGAGTAGTTCCAGCACGCTATTGTATAAGAAGATATGATTATAGATAGCAATGCAATCCTGTACTGAACCTTTCCAAAAGCTACAGGAATGAATTTTAAAAGCTTTTGACCATAAAACTGATATATATGTGAGTAAATACATGTTTCACATGTACACATATCAAAAAATCACATGCCACACTATTAACATTTGTAATTTTCAGGTTTGTATGAACCTGTCAAAAGTTGAATATAAACTTGAAATTTTTAAAAGCTATCACAGAAGATAAAACACAAATACTTGCCCTCACAGAATTTACTTTCTAATGAGGGGGAAAAAAGACTAATAAGCAATAAACATAATAACTAAGCAAATGGTACTGGAAGTGGAAAGATGATAAATATTGTGAAGGTAAAAAGGAAGACAGGAGCAAAACACAGGCAGGTATTGGTTCTCAGAAAATTCACATTTTAATTGGGGAAACTACCCTGGAGAGATAAACAAAGAAACCAAGTCAGTCTATGTTTTTCCTTATTTTTAGAAAGAACAATCAAAGTGGAAAGTAGGGGAAGTCTGCTTTTTATGTGGTCATTGGGTGGGAGACAATTCTTTAAGCTGAAAGATGGAAATGATTCAACCAAGCAACAGCCGCTAGAAACACTTTACCTTATGCTCAAATTTTCTATAATTGGAAACATAAAAGTACAAAATTAATTTCAGGTAGAGACAGTAAGACCTGAATTTGAATTTTGCTGCCATTTCTTTGACTTATATATAACATAGAACATATTGATTCAATTATCTAAGCTTAGGTTTCTTCACCTGTAAAGTAGGAATGATTTTATCTTCTTTAAGGTAAGGTTGTATTTATCCTAGATGTATATGCAGAATGGATGGATAGATGACTGTTATTATACAAGCAGGCTGTACTTCCTTAAGTGTGTTATTAAAAGAAAAAGGTATTACTGGCACAACAGAATACCCTGAAATGACACTTTGCAAGAAACTATACCAAGTGACTATAAATCAGTGCTGTGATCCATAGTCATTACTATGATTGTTTCTACCAAACTATTAAGTAGCATGGGACTTTGCTTTGATAAATGTAAATGTATTAGTAATAAAAGAGTCAAACCTTCAAATATACTCAGTTGTATATGCACATATTTTCTTCCTCCACTGATATTCCAGTGAAAATGATAGACCCGTAGTAGGAGAGAGAACAGACAGAAGAGTAATTACAGGTAGAACAATTTCGACAAGGTTTGAAGAGCGGAAAACAAAGGAGAGGAAGATGTAACTAAGTATCATGCTAAAAAGTATTTATGCTCATTACTAGGAATACTTGAGTCTCAAGTTTGGGGGCAACATATGCAGTGGAAAGAAATCACAGGCCAGAAAATAAAACAGCCAAAGGTGGCCGGGCGTGGCAGCACACGCCTGTAATCCCAGCATTTGGGAGGCTGAGGCAGAAGGATTGCTGCAAGTTTGAGATCGCTGCATAGTGAGTTCCAGGTCAGTCTCAACTACAAAGTGAGACCCTGTCTCAAAAAAACAAAACAAAACAAAAAAATAAACAAAACAACAAAAAACAAAAAACAAACAAAAACAGCCAAAGGTCTGTGTTCATAACTCTAGAAAGAGCAATATATACCACACACACACACACACACACACACACACACGCAGAGTAGAAGCAAGGAAAAGAGAAACAGTTAAAGTAGTTATTTGGTGAGCTACGCAAAGGATGGGAAGTATGGTGTATATGACATATAATGCTGTTTGCATTATTATAGTGAAATTTTCTTTAAGGGATTTTTTAATGCACATCTTTTTTTTTTTTTAGCTAAAGCATTTACAATAGTAATGATACATATTTAAATAGCCCCCACTGTCACTAAGAAATGTTATCTTCAATTGGGGAAAGCAGAACAAAATTATACCTAAGGCCCTCTTCTGACAAGCCAAGTTTCAGGGACAGAATAAATACAGGAGAGATAAGGTCAAAAAGATAATCTCTAAATCAATACACAAGACAGAGTTATTGAGTTTGCAAAATTACCATAAATATTATTGTAACTTAATGATCTGTGTGGGATAAATGCTTTTACAATATACTTTATGAAAGCAATGACCCTTTAGTAATAGAGTTCCCTACTCTGTGCTTAAAACATTGCATTTGGATATGATGTTCACCTGTATTTATATTTGCCCTGACACCTTAAAATACTATGTTTATGGAATCTATAAATTAAATATGTAATGGGAGTATAGATATAATTATATAATATAGCTTTATAACAGTTAATATATAATTTGTATCGATATAATAAATAGTCCAGTGATGACTTACAAGACGTTGTGTGAAATATTTTAGCTGGTTCTCCCTTATACAAATTATTGGCAGGATATACCTAAAATTCAGTGAATAAAAGAAAGTAATTGAGCTTTCCAATGTGAATTTATAAACAGTAATATAATAAACACATTATTTTTCATAAAATATTGTTTATTTTTATTAAAAATATACAGATTTTCCAGATATGGTGGCATTCAGGAGGCTGAGGCAGGAGGATCGCCATGAGTTTGAGGCTAGCCTGGGGTACATGGCTAGACTTTGTCTCAAAAAAAGAAAAATATGCATATTTGCCTTAATTTGAAGTCAAAACTTCAAAGTTATGCCAATATGCTGTTGTCAAACGTTTTTTAAAAGGTAGTCCCAAATATGTATATATAAAAATCAGCCTATTTTTAGAAGTGATAATAATTATAATCAGCAAGAGTAAACCAAAATGATTGAAAAAATAAAATTCAATACATCAAGTGATTCATAATTTAACATTCAATTGCCCTATTAAAATTTTATTCACATTTTATTTGAAATAGGAAATACAACTATGTGCTATTTACAACAATTGTACATAAAATGCACAGTTTTTAATGGTAAATGTGCACAGGGTACAATATACAGTGTAGACATAACTGGCATAAACATATCTCATGATATTTGTTAACAATCCAGCAAGAACAGTTTAGGTATACAAGGAAACTCAAAGGAGTAAAGAAACAAAGATAATCAGCAGAAAATCAATTTATGTAAAAATAGATCTGAATAAGATTATCAAAAGAGATTAATTATAAATACAAGAAGGGCCGGGGATTTAGCTCAGCGGTTCGGTGGCCTGCCTTGCAAGCGCAAGGGCCCGAGTTCAATCCCCGGTACCAAAAAAATAAATAAATAAATACAAGAAACCTAACAAACATCTATCTAAGCTTTAGCCATACAGGATCATAAATGATATCCTCAGTATTCACAGATCCTTCACAAATATTTATCATGTTATTATAAAGAAATGATTGAAAGATTTTGCTCTTCACAAATGAGTGGGTTTGCTGAATGTTGTTTGTATTAAGATCAACACGGTTATTAGAAAATGGTAAAACCATATACCAGAATCCTATACAAATATTAAAAACACAAAGTATTAAAGTATTTAATGTGGTAAGAGATGCATGATAGAATGATATATGAAAAATATAGTTTACCAAACTGTGTATCCATGATGTTGCTAATATATGCAACATATACAATGCATAATTTACAAGTACGCTCATAAAATATGATCTATAAACAGTGAAAGTATGGATAGCTTTTATTTCCTTTTTTTGTCCTGGGGATCAAACTGCTTGCCAGGCAGGTACGGTGCCGCTGAGCTAAATCCCAGGCCCTCGCTTTTACTTCATGTTCAGTGATACTTTCTATCATTATTTCTAGTACTTTCTAACCTCAAGGTACACGTAGAAGTTTTTCAGTTGAGAACTCACATCTATTAAGATAAACAGCAAGGGTAAAGAAAAGACATGATGAGGCAATGATCGCTGCACAGTGTTTTGCTTCTTGATACAGACAAGTAATTCCCCTGTGAGCGAACCATTGTAAAGTTGTAAAATATTCTAATGAAACATTTTGCTTTAAACCCCTGCTTTTGGCTCAAGGGAAAAAAAAAGTTTGGAGTCTTTTTTTTTTTCAATTTGAAACTTCTTGAAGTTGACTCCATCACACCTCCGTCAGAGCTCTCAAGTGAGCGCTGGTCTTCCTATTCAAGTACTAGATATTAGTCATTACAATGTATATTGAAACCACGGTGATCATAGAAATAGTGACTTACCCAAAACTCATAGTCTGTTGAATAATGAAGACTTGATAAAGTAAATGTGCAGGTGTTATTGGAAACACTTTTAGTCACGTCATTTTTAATTCTGACTTCCAAATCATACGTCACACTAGGGCCATTAATCTTATCAGGTTTGTTACAGGTGACAACCACACTATTATCTGATGTCTGAAATACTTGCAGTGACTGAACCTGGCTTGGACCTAATAAAGAAAGAAAGACTGGTCATTTCAATCACCCGAGAGTGCAGATTTTAGTTACCAGGCAATATGCATACAGTATAAAGTATTTGAAGTTTTAGTTTGGGGGTATAACAGCATACAAGTGACAAAATGTCTAACAAAACTTTTAAAAATAAATCACCTGTTCATTCAGTTAGCATGAACATACAGATTGTACTCAAAACCATAAGAGTTCATGCAATCCCTGAAACAGGCTGGATGGGAATGAGAAAGGTGTGAAAAAAGTGGAGGGAGAGGAAACAATGATGCCCAGAAACCCTCTAAGGCCTGCAGAGCGATTCCAATCCCCCTTTCCTGAAGGACTGATTTTATTCTGCTAAACACCGGCTGGATTCTCCAAGAGCAAGCAACAAACTGTCTTTGCTTTTTGCAATACCACAGAAATTCGGGGAGAGAACAAAAGCACAGAGTCCCACGACTTGGACTTTTGAATCCATGAACTAAGTGACCAGGGGAACATTTTCACCCCAACCAGGATTAACAAGTGCTGGCCGGAACATCTGAGCTGTGGAGCAGCCTCACTCAGAGCTGTTTTCTCCTCTCTGTCGCTGGCAGAGGTTCAGAGCATCGTCAAGGGAGCCCTGGCTTTGGGCTTGGAAACTATGCTGCCGTCACTCGGGTGGCAAGAGCAAAATCCACCGCAATCTCCAATGGAGAATGGAACATGAAATAAAATAATAGATATTTCCGTGTCGCTGAAAAAAGAAAATGCTAACAAAAATACTGTATTTTATGAAGTGTTTTATCAGGTGAGTACAGGTTAACTGCGTGCTTCGTAATATGTTGCTAGGTGACAGACTGTTAATGTTTTTAGATAGCAGAGTTAACAATAGACATTTTAAAAACTTCTGAGTTAGGCACCTACATGCTTGAAACCTCAACAATAGTAGTGCTTACGGTACCCTCGCACTTCGCTCCTACAACTGTAACTATACAACTATAGCTGCAGCCTACGGAGAGCCCAGATATCAGTTTTCATTTCGTTTAGATTGATTCTAAACCATAGATGCTAAAACTGTGCCCGGACAAGGTGCTTCAGATGAAGCAGAAAGATAGAAGGGCCCTGACTAAAACATCCGTTCTTTCCACCTCGCCGTTCAGGAAGAGGAGCATTCAGGCAGAGAACTTACGTCCAACCTGCGTCTGAAATTCACAAGTCACCGTGCTTCCGTTCCGTGGCACTTTTGCTGTGACATAGGCAAACAGGGATACACGATAGTTTGTGTAAGGCTCCAAAAGCTCCAAATTATATTTGGTCACATTCGCATTCAGAGTGATGAATTTGTCTTTTTCTTTCCCTACGGGGGAAAAAAAAATAGAAAAGTTCGGTCACCGAAAGTCAGGATCACCATGTATTTAATTTGGTCTCTACACGGTATTTTTCCAAGCAATGTCCAAAACTAAAGAGGACTTAAGAAATAAGAATTTTTTTTGTTAATACTCAGAAGTACATAAAATTGTCAGAAAATATATTGAATAAATTTAATTCTTATTCGTAAACTCGAATATTCAAAAAGTATTGCTTTGTATCAGTCATTTGGAACACCAAATATTTCACAACTTCAGATGCATTTGTGAAGACGCCCTGCTTTCTTCCTGAGATAACGCAGTCTGCAGCAGAGGGTGGGACATTTTTAAGTTATGGTGTTTTAACTTTTTTATGAAATCCTTTTTTGATATTTAGCCTCCGGTCTTTGAAATAAACCTCAACTGTTGTTGCGAACTTTCAGGGGAGGAACCCTGTGCTCAGCGATAGTGAGGTGCATTATACCATAGTAACTTCAACAACTAAGTAATGCTTAGGGGCCATGAAACTGAGGGGAGGCCCCACTCTGTCCCGTGACAGATGAGTGAAAAGCGAACCGGAAAAGGACAACAGCAAATATTACGAATGAAAAAAGGAAAGTGCTGAGGTAAGGCACAAAGCTGACAAGGACAGCCGCCAAAGAGGCATAGAAGAGATCGCGCTTTATGTAAGGGTATCTTAGCAGGTAGAAGAGTTAGCATCCATTAAGTGAAAGAAAACAATCACTACTTACTGAGATTCCTGAGTTGACAAATGACACAAGCAAAGATGTGTTAAATAAGATTAGCGAGGAATCAAGTAACTGAACCATATTTACAGTAAAGAGTATGACGTTAATAAAGATACAATGAATCATTCACTCCATGTGCCAAGCACTGTCTTTAGCATTAATTAATGTCACTTTCACCGTGGTCCTGTAAGTTGGCAGCCTTGGTGCCATTTTTATTTTATAGCTGATGCCAAATAACGTGTCCATCACCTCTCAGGAAAGGGGCCATGAAACCTGAATGGAACCCCGGTCTGACATTTCCAAATCTACCCGCCAGTCTTCGCTTTTCACACACTGTCAAGTGCCCACAGCAGGGCAAGGCTTCCTCGTTGTGCTGGACACCTCTCTTCCTGGGGTAGCTGGATGTACACTGGACTTGCAGGAGCAATGTAGGAAGGGTCTAATTCATGCTTATTTCTTTTCTTAGTTATTATCTATGGAGTATATAGCAATATCTGATATCACCAAGGGATTGTAAGTAGTAAGATGGAAATAGTGGCTGTTTTAGGCTGATTAAGAGTCTATTTCCTTGAAATCCCCAAACTGGGGTTAATTGATTTACATGTGGTAGCTCAGTCTTTCCTTGTCCCTCATGAGAATTCTCTCTGAAGACAAAAAAGGCGTGAGCTCAAGAGAAACGCAGGTGTACGCTCTTACTCAGGATTTCTAAAACCTCCTTATATGTATCTATACAATCTGGTTTTTAGGATGACACGCAACTTCTTATTGGGATAAAATCCAAGTGTCAAGATACTATTTTTAAGAGCAGCCTGGCTTCTGTTTAGTGACCTAATTATGGGTGTTGGCTTCTATAATCTCATAATCATTCTGTACCAAAATAAGTTGCATTGATATATTTCTATCAAGCTTTTATATTAAGCAATTCAGATTTTTTGTTTTATTTTTGAACAGTGCATTGTTCAAAGACATTGTCACTAGGGCTTTTTTTTTTTAAATGTCAGCAATTCATCAAAGATGTCAGTGCTTAGAAAGACAGGTAGGAGGAGTACTCATTGGGTCGAAATTCCATGTGGTGATTAACCTTTGTTGGCAACATGACTGGATTAAAAGATATGTAGGAAATTACTAGAGAACACTTGTGGGTGTATCTGTGAGGCTGTTTCCAGATGGCTGGCATGTAGGCCAAGGGACCTAGTGAAGAGGACCAGCCTTGAATGAGGGTAGCACTGTCCAATAGTCCAAGGACCCAGTGGAACAGAGAGTGGACGAAGGGGGAGATTTCATGCACAGAGGGTCAACTCTTCTTGGACAGGTGTGTGTTTTGATGCTGACACGGCCCACAGAATCAGACTCCCAATTCTTCAGCTTTCAATGTGGATTTGCACCTGTGTCTCCACAGGGACCTCCAGGCCTTCAGTCTCAGACCTCACCGGTCTCTCTTGTTCTGAGGCTTGCAGCTCCTGAGACTGCACAGCCAATGGTTTTTCCCGGCTCTCTCACATGCAGACAGCCTTTCTGGAATTATCCAGCTTCTGACTACATAGATCATTCTAAGACATCCTCTCCCTTGACTTTGTTCTCTTCTTTGGGATTTTTTTTTTTTTTGTCCTTTGAGAACTTTGACTCAGGCCAAATACTTTACATAGACATTATTTCCCTTTCTTTGTGTTGCAACACTCTTTCTCAGATCTCTGATGTCATATCGAGTTGTGTGCAACAAATAAAGGACTTCATTTGTGTAGATTCTTGGATTTATGTGGCTTTCCGTGAGGCTACAGAGATGTGCCCATCCTAGAAGCCATATGTGCTGCACTGGAAATGCCCAGAATGACACTGACTTCTCCACTTGTGTTTTGTTTTATAGAAAGGCACCCCAGGAAATGCACTAACAATTTCTTAATGTGGACTACTTTAAAGTGTCTTCCTGAATACTATTTCAGATAGAGTAGCCATACTGATAACCAGTGGATTTTTGTATTGCCAAAAAAATGAAAAGGTAATTTTTCTTTAAAAAATTTATATATGTATGTGTGTGTGTGTGTGTGTGTGTGTGTGTGTGTGTGTAGACTCTGAGAGAAAAATAAAACATAAATGGCAAGTAAAAGGAAGATCAAATAATTCCCTAAATTTCCTGTCCCATTTTTCTTGTACTTGCGCATGAATTGAATGTTTCAAAGTTATTAATATGACCTGATATGGTGGCCTGTGATTTCTACTACTCTGGAGGCTGAGGCAGGACGTTGGCGAGTTGGAGGTCAACTTGGGAACCTCACTGAGATCTTTACTCACACTCAAGGAAAACTAGGGAGTCTGGTAGGGATTTCATCATTGTGGTCTTGAATGGAGCACATTGGTTTCAATAAGTTTTGAAAAATAATCCTTTGAATAATAAATCTTCAGACTTCCCCAATTACTGAGAACTCTACACTGTACACTTAGCAACACTAAGTTAAGGGCACAAAATGGCAGCTTCTTGAGATGTGACGTGACAAAAACATGACAAGCACAATGGCAGAGAGAGCACAGTTCAAGCTGTTGAATATTTACTAAACTCCATTAGCCTCAGTCTCCTCAAGTGAACTATAAAGGTTTGCATGCACCTCTCCCCTCTCAGTTATTTGAGAATACTTAATAAAAATCATTAAACAGAACATCTCGAAACACCCTACAAACCGAGAAAACTAAGGAACTGCCCGTTGCATTTTTCCTTCCCTTGAAGTCCCGAGCTTCCAGAGACACTAAAATAAATTATGAAATGCTGCAGTGTCATGTCTGGTTAAAAACCAATACGTACTTCAAATTTCAAAGACCATTCTGCTATATTTGAATACTGATTTTACTTGAAATAATATGCGTAGTTTAAAACTGCTTTAACAGTGCTGTAACAACAGTATAATCCAGTAGATAAAATAGAAAGAGGACCGCGTTGGGGCAACATGATTTTGGTTGCCCCCAGAGACGACGCACTAATGGGCTGCTGCAAGGGGCCTTAAAGGGGAGCTGGTGCACGTCACAGAGTGAGGCTCACGCGCTCACCAGGTAACAGTTTTAGAGAAAGAATACATACGAAACCCTCTTCCTCTTCTCCTCTTTCCATTCCCACAGTCATATCTCAGTGACAGTAACTAACAAGGGCTCGTGCTCGTCGCAGACAAACAGAAACCTCTAGACCGCTCATAACTAATGGGCTGCATCCTTCTTGTTCTCACCATGTAAAACAGTATTAACATAGGTTTCTCAAAGTGCTGTGGAAGACAAAGGAGCAGTGTGTCCACCGCACTCCTACTACCCATGCTGGTATATGAACAATTCTGTAGGAGAGAAAGTGCAGAAAGCGAGGAAAGCATCTAGGAAGGGCGAAAAAGATTCAAAGACGAGAACACGATTTCCACCTTTCTCCCTTTATTATACACTTAGCTGTTGAAATTACCAGAAACTAAAAAACACTACATATTTCTTCTCCAAAAGCATTGATGCTAAAAACTACACATGTGTTTAACCAGCCCGAGTGTTAAAATTCAAACAGCTAGAAAAACAAAGGCAGCAAAACGTAAAGTAATGTAATATAATGGTGCTATTTTACTTTTCAAATTGTTGAATACTCCTCAAATTTTAACATTCATGCCTAGCACCTTCCCACCAAACACAGAGGTGGAATTGTACGAGGTGTTTAGTTCAATCCTACAGGCAAAGGCCAGCCAAGTTTGAAGGCCACTCTGTGATGTTCCTTTGATGCCTGTTATTTCCCACCAACATTTTAGAGACTTTTAGATGTGCGGGGGTGTTCACCAAAGCAGCTTCACTTGGAGGTTTCATGATTGAGCTGGTCACAGCACACTCTCACTACATTTACTTTTGCACAAGTCTATCGATAAGCTGGATTATCTAAGTGGCTCACTGGGTCAAAGCTCAGCTATATTCACCCAACGTCTTCTGTGTATTAATGGGATTCATTTTTGAAAGGTGTTCTTTGTGTTTGGTGGCTTGGATCATGATTTCAAAAGAGAAGAAATCGTCTGCATAACATTTGGAAGACAGGAAAGATTATTATCTGTCAGAGATCCCCCCCCCACCAGGTTCACACTGCAAAGCATAAAAAGGAAATCTGGAAGGTGTTTGGGGATTTTTTTTTTTTTTTTATATCTAGGGCTAGAAAGCCCTCTGTGAATGGAAGTAGTTGTAAAATCAAGGAAAACAGAATGTCCTCATAGGTTACATATGCCAGAAGTTGTGTCTTATTGGTTCAATCTACATTCCTACTAGTGTCAGTTTCTTCATTTCTTTTCCCAAATGTGGAATTAAATTCTATATAAATTACCTGATATTTCCAAATAAGAAAGATAAAATCCAGATACATTTGATTTAGCTGGGGGAAGCCAGACAACTTCTCCTGTAATATTTGTACCTTTACAAGAAAACTCCTGAGGCTTTCCCGGAGCTGTTAAAAGAATAAGAACAGGTTATATAAAAAAAAAATCAAACATGAAAGTAGTCTTTATATCACAAGCACACATTATTAACAGCCATATTTTCACTAGTTATAAATTATTAAGGACATTTAAAGAACTGTGTTAGGTGAAATTTGTTGTACAATCACAACTTGAACAAAGTAAATATCACTCCCGAGTGGCATTAATGAACCTAAGCACTCCACTGACTTGTGGACGTCTGATCCCCGCTTCCTCTAATATGTGTTATTTTACAGATATCTTGAGAATTCTAGATGTCACTGTGACCAAAACCTCATGTTTGTACCACTGAAAAACTCATTAGCCGTTAGGAACTGAGATAAGGATATCATACATGTTTAAAATTGTTATGAGGCATAATTCACATCCAGACGCACTCATTTCAAGTGCAGTTTAAGGAGTTATGATAATATACGCATCCATATAACCACCCCCACCCCCAGATGTAGAACACTTTTATCATCCCCCCAAGTGTTTCTGTGCCTCCCCTTCTCAGCCAACCCAGCCCCACACATCTTCGGATATGCTTTCTGTTATCAGAGACTAAATGTGCTTTTTCATCCATTTCATGTAAACAAAGACTTATCCCTAGCATATTGCATTTAATGTAACATTCTAGACAATCGTCTCTATTGTTGTCGAAGTCAGTAGCTACTTCCTTTTTATTAATCAGTAGTATTGTAGATTGAATATTGAGTGTCCTTTCCCTCAGGTCCATGTGTTAAAGACTCGGTCCCCTAGGGAACACTCCTAGGAGATAATGGAACCTTTGGAAATGTTGTACAATGAGAGAGGCTTAGGTCACTGGGGACATGCCTTTGAAAGGGACTTAGGGACATCTGGGTCTTCCTCTTTTTGCTTTATGGCTCATTGGCTTAGCAGTATGCTCTGTGATGTGCTCTCTACTACTGCTAACTGGTGTTGCACCAGAGGCCCAAAACTTTAGGGCCACCCAATATTGGACTGGGACTTCTAGAGCCATGATCTAAGCAAACTTTATCTATTTATCATGTAAGTGCCTCAAGTATTTCATCATAGTAATGGAAAGCTGACCAGTAAAAGTAGTGTTCCAATGTAAAGGTAAGCCATGTCTTATCTGTGGTTCAAAAGTTGGTGGACATTTGAATTGTTTCCAGGATTGGGGCTATAAGAAATGAATTTACTTTGTGTTGGGAACATAGTATTTTTACTTTGGTAATATCTGGAGTGAAATAGCTGGGCCATCCTCATCCCCACCTGTAGTGAGTATTGTCAGTCTTTTTAATTTTACCCAGTTTAGTGGATGTGTAATATCACTTCATTGTACTGCTTTGATTTGCATTTCCCAGATGGCTAATGATTGTTGCATATTACTTTATATATGTATTAGTCATTTGCACATCTTTTAAAATAAAATACATTTTCAAAATGTCCATTTTTTAACTAGGCTGTTTCATGACTTATTTTGTAGCTGAATGAATTTTATATATTATAGTTTAGTGGATGTGTAATATCACTTCATTGTACTGCTTTGATTTGCATTTCCCAGATGGCTAATGATTGTTGCATATTACTTTATATATGTATTAGTCATTTGCACATCTTTTAAAATAAAATACATTTTCAAAATGTCCATTTTTTAACTAGGCTGTTTCATGACTTATTTTGTAGCTGAATGAATTTTATATATTATATATACACTTCAAAGAGGAAGAATGTTTGATTCTGATTAAGTTCCATTTATCAATTTTTTAAGATTATTGCTTTCTGTGTCCTAGTAAAGTTTTGACCACTAAATCTTCCTAAATTGTTAATTAAATCTTTTAAATTTTTAACTTTTAGATCTACAAACCATTTTTAATAAATTTTTGTATCTGTTATGAGGTAAAACTGACATTCATACTTTTCCATAAAGATACCAGATTATTTGTTGAAATGATTATCCCCCTTACTGAAGTATGTTTTGCTTTAATCAAATATAAAAATTAATGAGTATATCTATTTTGTTAGACTGATTTGTCAAAATGGAAATAATTTTCACATTTAACATTAAAATACTGAATTTTTCTTATGCTGAGGATGTATTCTTACTTAGTTTTATTTGCTTTGTGTTTATATTAGCAGTTTATGGGAAGACTTGGATGTTGTATCCTGTTACACCTGAGTTGTCCCTTCCATAAATAATTTAGAATCACTTCAGTATGCTCTGTCACAAATTCTGAAGTATTATAATTAATAAATGAGTCTTGTGAAGACCCAGATTTCAGAATTAATACAGAAAATTTAGCTGTGTTTCTATATCCTAACAAGGTATAATTTGAAAATGAAATTAAGAAAATAATGGTATTATAAGTTGGAGGCAAATTGGGAATGAATCTAACAGAAATACTAGATCTGAAAACTATAAACCATTTTATATATAAATTAAAGAAGACCTAAATTAAAGCCCGGAATGGCAGCGCATGGCTGTAATCTGAGAGCTCAGGAGGCTGAGGCAGGAGGATCACTGGAAGTTTGAAATCAGCCTGGGTTACACAGTGAGTTCTAGGGCAATCTCAACTACATAGTGAGACCCTGTCTCAAAAAGAAGAAGAAGAAAGAGGAGGAGGA